GGAGTCATGCACCTATGGATGAGGACAGTGGGTGGGGAGTGAGGGAGGAGGGTGGGGTGGGAACTGGGTGGAGGGGAGTTATAGGGGGAACCAAGAGGAATAACTGTGATAATCTGAACAATAAAGATTTGATTAATCAAAGAAAAAACCATATATATATATATATGGTTTTGTGTTGTCTCTACCATTTTTGATGGACTCTGCCTCAAAGGGCAGAATTTATAGTATTTACTGAGACTTCACACATTAACAAAACAAAATTTTATGTAAAAGTAGAAAAAAAAGACTTAACAGTGCATTTTAAACCCCAAACGGAATGAATGAATTGTTTTAGACACCTAGAAGTATATGTATAGTCAGCCTTGCAGAATATAAGGCAATTTTGTTGTAGTTGTTTTGTTAATCCTCACTTAAGGATATTTTTCCCATTGATTTTTTTGAGAAAGTGGAAGGGAGGGAGCAGGAAAGAGAGAGGAGAGAGAGAAACATCGATGTGAGAGAGACACATCTATTAGTTGCCTTCCACACTCGCCTTGACCAGGGCCAGGGAACACACATGCAACTCAGGTACGTGCCCTTGACTGGGAATCAAACCCGTGACCTTTTGGTGCGCGGGCTGGTGCTCGACCACTGTGCAACACTGGCCAGGGCGATAGGGCAATTTTTTGATGCCAGTGAATCAAAACAACATTATGGAAAGAAGAAACAGTAATTTGAGTCTTTCCAAATTCCGAAGGAGTGATCTGTGTAACAGATCATAACACAATTCAACAGTCACAGTTTAAACCAAACAACAAAACAAAACAATAACGATAACATGAAGTGTTCTATCAGGCTCTATTCGAGGAGGCTGATTAAAAGCACCAGAAGGACTGATATCACAAAAACACTCTCAATAATGACACAGGCCTGAAATGGTATAATGGTGACCTGCTAGGAAAAGTGACACGGGGCATCGGTGACTCACCCTCGGAAAAGCAAACAGAACGCACACACCGAGGGGAGAAACCATTTAGAGGCGAGCTGCCGAAGGGCATTTTTATTTACCAAGCAAAATTGAACATTGGTGGTATGATCTACCGTCGCGGTAAATATTTATTCATAGAAAATCATTTCTAGCACAACACATTTTAGTTGGATAAAAAAAAGTTTGAAACATATTCCCCAAAATTAAAAAATGGCAAATTCCAGAAAAGCCTGGTTTGGAAGGGCAGGCAGGTGGACAGAGTGCTCTCCATTCGTGAATAAACAAGAAGAAAAAGCCAGCGTGAAGGTTCAGATGGGCAAGCAGGGCAAAAAGGAAGAATAATAATTTATACCACATCCTAAGCTCATATTAAGTTTGAAAACATCCTAGAAATCATGATATAAAGTAAAACATGTGAAAACAGTTAGGCCCTGGCCGGTGGCTAAATGGTTAGAGCTTCGGCCTGCACACCGAGGGGTAGCAGATTAGATTCCTGGTCAAGGGCTGGGGTTTGCTCCCTGCCCTAGGTTGGGGCATATGCAGGAGGCAACCAGTTGATATGTCTCTCTCACATCGATATTTCTCTCTCTCCCTCTCTCTCTATTTCTCTTTCTCTCTCCCTCCCTCCCTCCACACTTTGAAAAGCAATGGGAAAAATATCCTCAGGTGAAGATTCAAACAAACAAACAATAAACAAAAAAGTCTTCAGCTTGTACAAATTTAAAATGAACAAGTATTAGAATTTGTTCTTTCCTCAAAGACCAGCAGAGGTAAGTGAAATGAGAGGGAGCCCTGGCGGCCTTTGTTGGCAGAAGAGGGAGAGGCAGCTAACAGGTGAATGAAGGATGAGTCCCGGCCTCACCAGAACGGCCAGAGGCCAGGTGACAAACACAAATATAATTTCCCCAGGGAAGGAACACAAGAATGGGAGGGAGACCAGAGCACGAGGTCATGAAATTTAAAGTAAGCAAACTTAAGACCAAGGACAATTCATCCCAAATGTCAAGAGAAGTGAAGCGAAAAATGGAAGAAAACAATGTACTTGAAAACCATGGTATAAAAAAAGCAGATGCGGATGTCCTGTGCCCTGGCTGTGCCCATGTGGCTTCCTCCCTCAGCTCTTTCCCCGAGGGGCCTTCCCCTCGCACCCCTGCGTCCCAGCATCTCTTCTCCCCCCACCTGCTGTACTCTTTACATTCCCCTACATCGCTTACACGCTATTATATTTTATCTCTCCCCTTTACTTATGGCTTTCTCCTCTAACTAGAATGCAGGCCCACGAGAGTGAGGATTTCTGTCTGCTTCCCCAGCACCTGGAATGGGGCTGGCACACTGCACAGTCAATAGTATGTATGGGATGAATGAAGGGGTGTGCCGGGGCCTCTGGGAAAGGAAGCCTGCGTCTTCAGCCAGCTCTCCCTCTCTGCAGTGGTGCACGGACGGCAGCCCGGAGGCAGCAATCTCTTGCCAAGATGATGGAAGCCAACACCAGGCTATACTGACACCAGGGAGAGCTGAGTGGAAAAAGGAAAGAGTCCAAGACCCCAAAGATTCAAACCCTAAAGCCCTGCTTACCTCCAAGTTATTTGAGTCAATACATGCCCTGTGGTTTGAAGCCACTGTGATTGGATTTTCTTTTCCTTCAGCCCGGAGGCAGCAATCTCTTGCCAAGATGATGGAAGCCAACACCAGGCTATACTGACACCAGGGAGAGCTGAGTGGAAAAAGGAAAGAGTCCAAGACCCCAAAGATTCAAACCCTAAAGCCCTGCTTACCTCCAAGTTATTTGAGTCAATACATGCCCTGTGGTTTGAAGCCACTGTGATTGGATTTTCTTTTATTTCCAACTGAAAGCATTCCCACTATTAATCTAAGTTTTAGAAATTTATAAAAATGGCTTTAGAAAACCACAGGTTAAAGGGAGGGTGTGTATGAAAAGACAAAAACTAGAGAGAGATTAGAGAAATTAAAGCATTACTTGGTATAAGTAGATAAAAATCGGTACGACTGCCATAGTTCATATGTGCATTCTTATAAAATCTAGCCCAAGGGTCTATTTATGCAATACAGAAGGAAGGGCCTTAGCACCTCAACAGATAACAAAAGGCTTAAAGTGGGTGTGGCTCACATGGTTACAGAAAATCTATATTTGGAGGAGAGATAGAATCACAATTCTTTTTGGTGTATTTTTTTTGTTTTTTATTAATCCTCATGGGAGGATATTTTTTCCATTAATTTTAGAGAAAGTGGAAGGGTCGGGAGAGACAGAGAGAAACATTGATGTGAGTGAGACACACTGATTGGTTGCCTCCCACGCGCGCCCTGGATGGAGCCTGCAACCGAGGTAACATGCCCTTGACTGGAATCAAATCGGTGACCCTTCAGTCTGCGGGCCGATGCTCTAACCACTGAGAAAACTGGCTAGGGCTCCCAATCTACTAAAGGATATATCCATATTCATAAAAATGATATATTCACCTCCAGTGCTTTTCAATCCTTAATGTGCATACAAAGCAAGTGGAGCACTTGTTAATAGCACAGAGCTGTGGGGAGTGGCTCAATTGCCCATTTCTCCAGGAATGTCCCCAACGGGCCGATGCTCTAACCACTGAGAAAACTGGCTAGGGCTCCCAATCTACTAAAGGATATATCCATATTCATAAAAATGATATATTCACCTCCAGTGCTTTTCAATCCTTAATGTGCATACAAAGCAAGTGGAGCACTTGTTAATAGCACAGAGCTGTGGGGAGTGGCTCAATTGCCCATTTCTCCAGGAATGTCCCCAGATTTGTGTTGGGCACAAACCTCCGAGCTTTGGGAACAGACCTAGCTGATGCCAACCAGCAGCCTCTGGTCCAGTGATGAGTTCAAGATCAGCACAGGACCCAATCTGAGCCAATGAGATGCAAATAGGCTTTTGTACTAGGGCTCCTAGAAGGAGGCATACCACCACTCTTTTCCTGTTGGACTTGGTGTGATTAAAGGTCTAAAGCCACCTCCCCCATCCTGCAACCGCTGAGGAAGCACCAGTCTGAGAAAGGGTCAAGACGGAAGAGACAAATCAAACAGGGACAGTTTTCTGATTAAGCAGCATTGCCCTTGAATTCTTACTTTGCTCTGGGCACCAATAAATTCTCTAGTTACAGAGTCCAATTTGATGGGTTTCTACCACTTGTCAGTGGAAGAATCCTAGCCAATATTCAAGTTTGGTGTGGAAAAATTCCAAAATTTAGGCAACATAAAGAAGAACATTAAAAATCATGTATGAGGCTCCTAATAGCACCCAGAGGCAACCACTGACCATCTCTCGTGTTACAGGGCAGGTTCCCTGGGTGGCAGCCTCACACAGAGATCTGCATACTGGGGTGTATTAGGGTGAGCTCATGGCACCCTCCACACGAGATGGGCCTGGGTGGGCACCACAGCGTCCATTACATCTGCACGTCTTCTTTTCGTCCATTTAATTTACATGTTTTCTCTTTCTTTGAAAATTTAGGTCGTATTTAAGTGCTGTTCTACATATTGGTATGTTTTACTGGCTAATATTACATTATGAGCATTTTCATCATTAAATATTCTTTAAATGAATCACAAACACAGTTTTAGATTCCTTCATGTAGGTACCACAATGTATTTAAGCACTCTCTTACTATTGGATAAGCGTTTAAGAGTATTTCCAATATTCTTTCATCTTCATACATAAATTTTTGTTTACATCTCAGCTACAAGTTTTGTAGGACATATTTCTGGGAGTGGAATTAAGGAGTAAAAGGATATGAACTACTTTAGCATTCTGGCCAAATTGCCCTTTGAAATTTCATGTTAATTTACATTCTGATTAGTGCTATATTTGTTTCATTAAGAATTAAATGTTTCTAAATTTTATTTCTTACCAATTGACCAAAATGATCTCATTTTTGCTTTGGTTTCTTCTCCGTAATTACAGATAAGTTCAAAGATTTTAAAACACCTATTGATTTTATTTTTTGTTTTTCTTCATATGCAAATAGACTGGTCTTTATGTGTTGTTGTTAGTTTTTCTATTCAGGTATTTAATTGTCTTCTTATTGATTAAAGCTCTTTATATTTTAAATATACCAACAATGTGTATGGCATATTCATTTAAAATATCCTTCTATTAGTCAGTTGCATTTTAATTAAATTAGGGCGGTTCAAAAAACATTATATACTAAAAAAAAAAAAAAATCTTAATTTTTTTCTTCCATGCTCTAAAAAGAACTTTCCCATTGTGTAACATGATAAAGATCCATCTTCACTCACACTCCTTATCTAGCACTCAACCTTCTTCCTCAGGAAAGCTTCCTCTGACTGGGCCGAATCTCCCAACGATACATATGTACAGAACCACGTACCCATTGCTGGTACACCCATCACAGCTGCAGGTTTACCTTTATGCGAGTGTTTATGAAATTTGAAAGGATCAGGGACATGTCTGTATGTTGTTCACTGTTGTATTCTAAGAATTTGGCACAGAACCTAGCATCTGATTTATTATCTAATTTTGTATGACTTTAATATTTACATTTAATTCTTCAATCACCTGGGAATCTATTTTCCTGTGGACTATGAAGAACATTTTAATCTTTATTTTGTACCACCATTTATAGAATTAACATTCCTTTTCCCACTGTTTTGACAAAAATGTTGTCATATACCTATGTCTAGACGTACCTTTACTAACACACACACACACACACACACACACACTCTAAATTCTTACTATATTGTGGCCTATGGTGGAAATTTCTTGTGTTACATTGTTCTACCCATAGAATCTACCAACATGGCATCACTTTGATTATTGTAGAGTTACCTATATTTTAATATCTGACTGGATATGTAACTTCTTGATATGACTGTCCCGAAATGTAGTAGTTAAAATCACTTAATCAAGCCCTCTGCTGCCAATCAGACAATTTTAAAAATAAATCATTAAGTTGAAATGGTAGGGAGCTCCTTATTCCATTCTCTTTTTTTAACTTAATGGATATTCTTTTGGCCAAAGGTGCGTGCCCTTACTTGAGCAATCCCGCCCGGTGGAAGACGTAGAGATCCTGCTCCAGGGTGCAGTTGTTGAAGGGGACTACCTTCACAAAGTTCTGGATGAGGACAAACTCAGGGGTGAGATGCGGCAGAGAGATGAGGCAGAAGTTCTTGTCCTAACATGATGGGAGCAGGACACAAGGAAAGACAATCAGAAATTATTTATCACCACACTGAACAAAATTCCTGCTGTAAAACACTAAAGAAAACAGGAGTAAAATGTGTAAAGGAGAAGGTATGCAAATTAAACTTTCCTATAATTTGGAAAGTAATTATATAAAACTGAGCGGGGTAAGCAACCGCCAGCACCTGACTGAACCCTGGATGAATGTATATTATGAACACTGGAACCCATTTGGCCTGGCTCCTTTGTGGAAGTAGATTGTTAGGACATTTGCCCTTTCAGACTCATTTGCTGCCAGGAGTGAACGAGGGAGTGTGGTGTCACAGCAAAGGCCTGGGGCTTACTAGGTGGTATTGTACCAGCCTGGTCCCCTCCTCTGTGAGAGGACATTTCTCTTCTGAAATCCTGTGATTATACATGAAGAGATGTCTGTGTATGTTATCAAGACATGATCCCCTTTGGGTGAACAGATCTAAGGACATGTTTAACCTGGGCAGTGGGCTCAGTTAGTCAACACAGAAGGGTCCACATATCCTGACAGCTGCCACTCACCTTCTAGATCTGCACAGTCCAACATGGTAGCCAGTAGCCACATCTGATCACTGAGCATTTTAAATGTGGCTACTGAGACCCGGGAACTGAATTTTTAATTGAATTGAATTTTAATTTAAAAACTGATACTGAATTCAGTTATTGGAAACGTTTTATGTATATTTGCAATAACTTGGTAATCCGAATCTACTTATTCAACTGTAAATTTTATAAAATCTAAATGCAGATCAAGTGTTTCTGATGAAAAATTACTACTTGTATTGAATGGGCTATAAGTGTAAAATATACATTGAATTTAAAAAATGGAGAAAAAGAGTGTAAAGTATCTCATTCATAACTTTCCATACTGATTACATGTTGAAATGATTAGATTTTGGACATATGGAGTTAAATAAAATACATTGTTAAAGCTGAGTTCACCTGTATCTTTTTATATTTTTTAATGTGTCTGCTGGAACATTTATGCAGCTCGAATTTGCTGTCCCCGACCACCGATCACCGATATATAAAACTGAGCGGGGTAAGCAACCGCCAGCACCTGACTGAACCCTGGATGAATGTATATTATGAACACTGGAACCCATTTGGCCTGGCTCCTTTGTGGAAGTAGATTGTTAGGACATTTGCCCTTTCAGACTCATTTGCTGCCAGGAGTGAACGAGGGAGTGTGGTGTCACAGCAAAGGCCTGGGGCTTACTAGGTGGTATTGTACCAGCCTGGTCCCCTCCTCTGTGAGAGGACATTTCTCTTCTGAAATCCTGTGATTATACATGAAGAGATGTCTGTGTATGTTATCAAGACATGATCCCCTTTGGGTGAACAGATCTAAGGACATGTTTAACCTGGGCAGTGGGCTCAGTTAGTCAACACAGAAGGGTCCACATATCCTGACAGCTGCCACTCACCTTCTAGATCTGCACAGTCCAACATGGTAGCCAGTAGCCACATCTGATCACTGAGCATTTTAAATGTGGCTACTGAGACCCGGGAACTGAATTTTTAATTGAATTGAATTTTAATTTAAAAACTGATACTGAATTCAGTTATTGGAAACGTTTTATGTATGTTTGCAATTTGGTAATCCGAATCTACTTATTCAACTATAAATTTTATAAAGTCTAAATGCAGATCAAGTGTTTCTGATGAAAATTACTACTTGTATTGGATGGGCTATAAGTGTAAAATATACATTGAATTTCAAAAATGGAGAAAAAGAGTGTAAAGTATCTCATTCATAACTTTCCATACTGATTACATGTTGAAATGATTAGATTTTGGACATATGGAGTTAAATAAAATACATTGTTAAAGCTGAGTTCACCTGTATCTTTTTATATTTTTTAATGTGTCTGCTGGAACATTTATGCAGCTCGAATTTGCTGTCCCCGACCACCGATCACCGACCCCGGTGCCCTGCATATCCATTTAACCCTAGGCCAGCTGCCGGTAGGAATAGCCTGCTCTTCCCAGAGCTAATTTGTCCCTTTGGGATCTTGCCTCCTCCTGAACTCTGTGAAGGTATTACTTATGTTAATCCAAAACCCTGGGGACATTTTTGCAACCCAAAGGAGTGAACCATTGTTTGACCTAATCTTCCTTTTTTCTAGCAAAATAACACAGCTCCTTTTGGGGACATTAGAGTCAAGTTGTTAAATGCGAGAAACTGCAAATAAGCATTGGGTGCGAAGTCAAGTCTCGGTGGGCTTCCTCCAAGAGGAGGAGGCGCTAATGAGTTACGTGACTTGGATCTGAAGGACTCAGAAGGAAGTAATGAAGGTGTCTTATTTCTGTCTCCCCAACTCCTGAAATAAGATAGAATGAAAACATAAACATGCCTTGCCCTGGCCAGGTGGCTCGGCTGATTGGAGCGTCATCCCATGCACCCAAAGGCTGAGGGTTCGATTCCCAGTCAGGGCACATACCTAGGTTTCAGGTTTGATCCCTGGTCAGGGTGCATAAGGGAGGCAACCAAATGATGTTTCTCTCACATCAATGTCTCTGTCTCTCTCTCTCTCTCTCAATAAATACAAACATATCCTCAGGTGGAGAATTAAAAAACAAAACAAAAAGTAAATATTTCTTTTACCTTTTTTAATCCATCATTGTTTTTGTGATACGAAAACATCTGCCTTTACATGGACTTCAAAACAGGAATGAATTAAGTTTAGTGAAATTACTTTGGGGCACCTGGCTGGTGTGGCTCAATGGTTGAGCACTGACTCATGAACCAAGAGGTCACTAGTTCAATTCCCAGTCAGGGCACATTCCCAGTAGGGGGTGTGCAGGAGGCAGCCAATCAATGATGCTTCTCTCGCATGGATGTTTCTATCCCTCTCTCCCTCTCCCTTGCTCTCTCTCTAAAAATCAATAAAAACATTTTTTTTAAAAAGATGGAAAGCTCTTAGGAAGAGTTAGAATTTAAGAAACAAAATTTCTCCCCTGTAATGTTACTCTTTCCTTCCCATACTTCTTCATAAACAAGTCCCTGTGCACAAGCCACCCTTAAGGGGTGGGGATTTATGCCCAGCCTCGTTTAGAGAGCATCTACAAAAAGCATTCGGGGTGCTCGCTTTGGCAGCACATGTACTCCTAGTAAAATTGGAATGATACAGAGAAGATTAGCAAGGATGACACGCAAATTCATGAAGCGTTCCTTCCATATTTTTCAAAAAAGTATTTGGAATTCTTTTGTAAGGGAGATTTATCTTTTCTTCTCTGTTTATATACTCAACTGTTTATTTTTACCTACATGGACTTATGACTATTTATTTTGTACTTTGTCTTGTAATCCAGTACTATTTTATCTATTTTGTTGCTGCGATTGTTCCAATGTTGGCCATTCTTTCAGTTGGCTGCTGTGTGCCTTTGACATACTCTCATTGTTTTCTTACTTTGGGCACTGCAAGGTGCTCCAGGCTCATCAGGATATTCCCCGTCTCCACTTGAGCTTCGCGTTTTGAAAAGATCTTTCTGAGAGCTCTAGGAAATGGATTAGGTTGGGGGGAGGTTGTTGTACGAGGTGATGGTGATGATGGATGGACTGAGATGCTTTCTGGAAGTTAAAGAAAGAAGTGGAGATGGGACCTCATTTCTGACTGGGGCCACTGGCCAGAGGACTGTGTGACTCACAGAGCCAGGGACTCAGGAGGAGGATCAGACGTGTGGGGAATAGATCACAGGGTCCTTCTAGAACAGTGGTTCTCAACCTTCCTAATGCCGCGACCCTTTAATACAGTTCCTCATGTTGTGGTGACCCCCAACCATAAAATTATTTTC